TCCCCGGGGGAGACCCTTCTCTGTCGCAGCTCCAGCCCTCTGGAACGACCTCCCCGTGGAGATCCGGACCCTTACTACCCTCCCGGCCTTCCGCAAAGCCGTTAAGTCCTGGCTGCTCCAGCAGGCCGGGGGGAGCTTTTGAAATATCCAGTCCCATGGAAACTGTGACTGTTGTTTATTTTAAAGTGTTGTTTTTATCCCCTTCCCTTGTTTATTGTAAGCCGCCCGGAGTCCTTCAGGAGTGGGCGGCATACAAAACCAATAAACTCAACTCAAACTCAAATTCATCCCCAAATATCCTTTTAACTATTTCCAATGCTTTTGTTTTTGTGCGACTGTTTTCCCTTGAAGCAGTATAGAATGCTTTTCTTTTTATGATGAGTATGGTCCTTACAAGAAGTCCTTGATTTAGGACCAAAATTGAGCCCAAAAATTTATGTTGCTAAGCGAGGCAGTTGTTAGGTGAGTTTTGCGCCCCATTTTATGACCGTTCTTGCTACCATTGTTAAGTGAATTGCTGCAGTTATTAAATTACTAGCATTGTCGTTAAGTGAATCTGGCTTCCCCATTGTCTTTGCTTGTCAAAAAGTCACATCAGGGGAATCACATGATCCAGAGACTCTGCCACCATCATAAATATGAGCCAGTTGCCAAGCATCTGACTTTTGATCATGTGATGTTGCAATGATCATAACTAAGGAAATTGGTCATAAGTCACGTTTCTCAATGCCGTTGTAACTTCAAACAGTCACTAAATGAATGGTTTGTAAGTTGAAGAGTACCTGTATTCATTCATGAAAAGAAGGGCTAGTGGTGGCATGATAGCAGTGTTCCGATATCTCAGGGATTGCCACAAAGAAGAGGGAGTCAAGCTATTCTCCAAAGCACCTGAGGGCAGGACAAGAAGCAATGTGTGGAAACTCATCAAGGAGAGAAGCAACTTAGAACTGAGGAGAAATTTCCTGACAGTGAGAGCAACGAATCAGTGGAACAACTTGCCTCCAGAAGTTGTGAATGCTCCAAAACTGGAAGTTTTTAAGAAGATACTGGATGGACATCTTCTTAAAGACTTAATAGGTGGAAACTAATCAAGGAGAGAAGCAACTTAGAACTGAGGAGAAATTTCCTGACAGTTAGAACAATTAATCAGTGGAACAGCTTGCCTCCAGTTGTCTGTAGTGATGTAGGGTTTCCTGCCTAAGCAGGGGATTGGACTAGAAGACCTCCAAAGTCCCTTCCAACTGTTATTCTATTCTATTCTATTCTATTCTATTCT